GGCTCTGTCTCAAAAAAAAAAAAAAAAAAAAAAAGATTGCAGGTAAAATGGTACCTGTGCAACTAGACTCTGTTCCCATATGGACATGAATTCCAACGTCCCTACATTCAGTTAACATTACACCTCATTTAGCCCTAGAGTGGCTCTCGGCTATCCCACTTTCCCCTTGACTCCGATGTGCTGATGGAGACCACATGTGCTTACAGTCTCTAACGGGCTTAACTTTTTTCAATGAACATGGTGACAACTACACTGTGATACCATCCTTTGACCATGCAGCATCAAAGTCATACAGACACCTCTATACATTGTTGCTCAGATCCAAACCCCACTCCCACTGCGCGGTGCCTGCCCTACTGATTCCTCTCTACACACATCCCAGTTTCTGATGTGGAGGGGAACTGTGGCTGAGGATTGGGGCGGCTGGAGAGTTTATCAAGAGGACCCTCCTGAAAATCTCCTTGGCTGAAATGACAGCAATCCTAAAAGCCTGGGAATTTTGTCAGAAAATCAACTGCAGACTGTGAATTTCTGGGAGAGAAAGGAAATCTATCATTCAGCACTTAGTTCTGCTGTGTGAGGAAGAGCAGCAAGTCTCAATGATGCGAGCCTTTTAGACATAATTTATACTCAAGTTCATCAGCACCAGAAAATTTGTGATGGCTTTTTTTTTTTTTTGGAGACAGAGTCTTATTATGTTGCCCTCGGCAGAGTGCCATGGCGTCACAACAATCTCAAACTCTTGGGCTTAAGCAATTCTCTTGCCTCAGCCTCCCAAGTAGCTGGGACTACAGACATCTGCCACAATGCCCAGCTATTTTTTTTTTCGTTGCATTTATCATTTAGCAGGCCTGGTCTGGGTTTGAACCCACTAGCCCTGGTGTATATGGCTGACACCCTAGTCACTGAGCTACAGGCACTGAACCAAATTTGTGATGTTTTTCAGATGAGTAAAGGACGAGATAAAGATATTGACCTTTTTGATATGAAACAATTCAGAAGTTCATTTAAGAAAATTCTGCAGAGAGGCTCAGTGATCACAGCTCAGTGTTTAGGGCACCGGCTACATACACTGGGGCTGGCGGGTTTGAATCCAGCCGGGGCCTGCTAAACGAGAGTGACAACTACAACAAAAAAGTAGCTGGGCATTGTGGTGGGCGCCTGTAGTCCCAGGTACTTGGGAGGCTAAGGCAAGAGAATCGCTTGAGCCCAAGGGTTTGCTGTAAGCTGTGACACCACAGCACTCTACTGACATAGTGAGACTCTATCTCAAGAAAAGGAAGAAAGGAAGAAAGAAAGAAAGGAAGGAAAAAAAGAAAAGAAAAGAAAATTCTGCAGAGAGCATTAAAAAATATGACAGTTGGGCAGTGCCTGTGGCTCAAAGGAGTAGGGTGCCAGCCCCATATATGCCAGAGGTGGTGAGTTCAAACCCAACCCTGGCCAAAAACTGCAAAAAATAAATAAATAAATAAAAATTTAAAAAACCTTCAAACTAAGATAAAGTGAAAGCCAGCAGAAATTGAAAGCAAAATAAACAAAAAAAATTTAAATTAAAAAAAATGTGACAGTCACCTTCAGAGACACTGAGGACAATGTAGTCTGGATTCGAATCTCCTGAGGAATGCAGTATACAAAGCCAAACCAGTACAGACCACTCACATGGTGAATTATTCCCAGACTCCTTATGCCTTTGCTTCTTTCTCCACTTTAAGGTGCAATGTCCCCCTTCTGGGTCAGGCATTGATGATTGCTAGCAAACACCACCAGATTGTGAAAATGGACCCGAGAAGCTGATATCTAGACTCTCTTAAGGCTATTTTTTTTTTTAAGCAGTATAATCAGAACTTTGAAACTCACTACTCTGTGACACTTCTACAAGAAAGAAGTCTTGGGCTAGATATAAACATGGATTCAAGGGTCATTCATGAAAACACAGCAGAAAAAGAAAGTCCAAAGAATAACCCTAGAAACTTTTGGAGACTATCCTCAACCACAACTAGAATTTGCACAATATAAGCTTGAAATGAAGTTCAAAAGTGACTTAAGTGAAGGCAGCTTGGCTGAGAGAGAAGAACCCCTCTGGTGCCTCACAAAGTTCTCCTCCCCACATCTTTTGGAAGCACTGAAATCCTTAGCACCAGCTGGGATTGCAAATGCACTCCACTTCTCACTTGTGTACCCAATAAGAGAATGAATTACTTTAAAATTAGAGATAAACAAGATGAGATGTATTTTGTAAGCAGAGCAGTTCCTCGACCATACTGCACACACCTTTCAGTTTATGGTTCATTCTATAGCTTCTGTCTATACACTTGCATTTTAGATCCCTGAGGCCAGGCGTGTGGCTCACACTTGTAAACCCAGCACTCTGAGAGGCCAAGGCAGGAGGATTGCCCTGAGCTCACAGGTTCCAGACCAGCCTGAGCCAGAGCAAGACCCCATCTCTAAAAATAGCCAGGCATTGTGGCAGGTGCCTGTAGTCACAACTACTCAGGAGACTGAGGCAAGACAATTGTTTGAGCCCAAGAGTCTAAGGTTGCTGTGAGCTATGAGGCCACAGCATGATACTGAGGGCAACAAAGAGAGACTCTGTCTCAAAAAAAAAAAAGTTAATCCTTGGTATTGGAAACTTAGAAATATTCATATACTTTAATTCTCAGAACTGACTCTTCCTGCTTCTACAGCATGCCCCCTTGACCTGATAGCCTGCTCAGTGTAGGAGTTGTGGGCATTTGAGACATGACAGGATATAGATACATACAGCTCCACACTTGACCTCAAGTACCTGCTGCTCTGAAGTCAAGCACACAGCAGGCACAGCAGGCACAGTGGCTGAGACTTCTGGGCGCCAGGTCTAGTGTCCTTTTTACCATTCCTGCCTCTCCTTAACCCTGGTGAGGCCTGGTTCTAATTGCTGGTTTCCAGAATTTTTTTTTTTTTTTTTTTTGCAGTTTTGGACAGTGCCAGGTTTGAACCCACCACCCCCGGTATATGGGGCCAGCGCCCTACTCCTTGAGCCACAGGTGCCACCCTTTTTTTTTTTCTTAAACTTTGGATCACAGATCAAGGAAACAGGAAAATATACCCAAGTCAATACATTTTAGGAGAACTGTGTAAAACTGGTCCATTCAAAGGGTAGAGTGGATCCACTGCACTACTATTGCAGGAGTTGCACATTCAATGATTTATCTGTACAAAATAACTTTCTTGTAGTAAATATATTTTCATAATCTGTCTTATCATACAGGTTAACTGTCAAACTGACCAATATTATACTGATTTGTGAATAAAGACATTGAAAAACTGAAAAAACAAAGTTTCTGATGCAGCTGGGTCCCTGGAGTCCAAGCATCACCTACCTTCACACCCCGAGGTCCAGGATAGCCCGGAGGGCCTGATGACCCCGGCAGACCCTGAGAGGAAGACAGTATCAGTGCCATGCTGGCCTCCCCCACCATGTCTCAATGTCCTCATCTCTCTTTTGACTGGTGCTGACTCCTGGCCCTGCCTGCTGACTGGCATCCCCAACCCAGCTTCCCTCCAGATCACTCACCTGGGTACCTTTCTCTCCTGTGGAGCCCTCATGACCTGGGTGACCCTAGAGAAGAAACATCCTAAAGTGTCAGAGACCAAAATTTGCCATTCAAATTCCCAAGCCTTCCCCTTCTCCTTCCTCTATTTCCCAACCCCTGGTTCTCACCGGAGGGCCATCAGCTCCTGGGAGGCCTGGAATTCCTGGGTTTCCAGGTGGGCCCTGAAAGTAGGGGGGGATAGAGGGTCTAGATGCTCAGAGCTTCATCAGGAGGAGCTCTACTCCAACAGACAGCCACTTCAAGGTTAGATTCTACTGGCCAGGAAATCCCAGACTCTACCCAGACTTCCTGTGTGCCCTGGGCAAGCCCTCTTTCCCTCTCTGAGCCTTAGAAATCTTCCACCTCTGGGAGGGTTGAGAAAAGGGACAGAAAAACAGTGCAAGAGTTGTATTGGGGTGGGAGCTTCCTAGCCAACATCATTTTCTTTTAAAATGCCTCCCACAAGTGGGCTAGGCAAGCATGAGGTAACCCCTTTATGTCCTCCAAACAACTGACAGGTCCAGAGGTAGACATTTTGGCCCAGCTAAGCCAATCAGAATCTTTCCTGGAATTTGGAGGTAAGAGATATAGAAAGTCTGATTAGATGGCTGTGCGTAAAGCAACTATAAGGTCACAAGAAGCTGGGACCTGAATAATAACTAAGCAACACAGAATTACAAAGTTGGACAATTAAGTTTGTGAATTCGTCCTAGAAAAGGTATCTTGAAGAGTGGACTAGGTGCTGGTGCTGGTATTGGTGCACAGCTTCCCAAGGGGAGGACTTTTTTTTTTGAGACAGAGGCTCAAGCTGTCCCCCTGGGTAGAGTGCCGTGGCATTACAGCTCACAGCAACCTCCAACTCCTGGGCTCAAGTGAGTCTCCTGTCTCTGCCTCCCGAGTAGCTGGGACCACAGGCACCCGCCACAACGCCCGGCTATTTTTTGGTTGCAGTCATCATTGTTGTTTGGCAGGCCCAGGCTGGATTCAAACCCGCCAGGTCAGGGGTATGTGGCTGGCACCTTAGCCACTTGAGCCACAGGTGCCGAGCCGTAAGGGGAGGACTTTGAAGGTGACTACAGTGATATTCAGCAATGAGGTATGTAGCACTTTTTCTAGGACCAGTTCAAGAACTTAACTGTCTAACCTTGTATGTTAAAACTGAAATTAAAAAAGGAGATGCAGGGAAGACAGACTAAAATATGTGAAGAAAGTCTGTCTGCCAGGGGAGAGAGAAACAGATATGCCGAGAAACCAAGATGAGACCACCAGTTCCCCAGGGAAGTGGCTTTTCCGGCTCATGAGTCCACCTTCTGTGACAAGCTTCTGTGGGCTTCTCTGAATACTGACAATTTCCCTTATACAGCAAGCTAGCATGGTGGGTTTCTGCTTCTTGCAACCCACTCTTGTCTTCCCCAGTAATGCTACTTTGTGACTCTGGGCTGGTTTAGGTAACATCGCAATTTATCACAGTCCAGGGCTAACAAAAAAAGGATGATTTTCCTGGTGACAGAATTGAAAGGAGACATGAGGAGGTGGTAGTACAAAGAGCTGTCACTCACCTTCTCCCCGGGGGGGCCAATGGGTCCCTGGGGGCCAGGGAGTCCCTGGGGACATAAAAAAGGGGGTGGAGGGCAGGAATGAGAAAGAAGTAGTGAGCACGGAGTTGGGGGGGCTGGGAGTGGTCTCAGATCTTGACTGAGAAGCGCCTTTTCCCCATTCCCCATTACAAGGAAAAATAGTTCAAACCTGAGACCCATGATTTCCCTGCTGTCCTGGAGGGCCTGGTTCTCCTGGAGGACCCTGGGGAGAAAGTGGGGTTCAGTGAAGCTGGATGGGATCATGATGTTCAGGTTTCAGTGAAATTAACCCGGGAGAGTTGTGAGTAGACAGGGATAGAGATGATCATGGGGTCAGAGGGGCAGAGGTCAAAGGGTGGGGCACATACCACATTGCCTTTGGCACCTGGAGCGCCATCAATTCCGACCACACCCTGGTGGGAGAGAGGATGTGAGGACAGAACAGGAGAACCAGCCCAGAAGCTGAGTCTGATTCATGGAGAGGCACAGGTGGCAACATGAGTGGGCAGAGAAATCAGGCAACATAAATGGACATGCACAGGGAGAGAAAGGTGAGGGAGGAAAAGATAGACAGGGATGCAGAGAGCCGGCGGCATTCTCACCGGGCGACCCGGGGAGCCAGGGGAGCCTCTGGAGCCAATCAGTCCACGGGGGCCCTGTGAGGTTGAAGGAGCATTATTGTGGCAGTGCCTCTAAGCATCCCTGGGGGTTCCAGGTATCTTAGTGGCCTGGGGTCCTTCCTCCCCTGTACCTGGCAAGGGCTGCAGGGATTCCTGATACTTACCGGCTCCCCAGCCTGTCCAGTAGGTCCTGGAGGGCCCTCTGGTCCCTGTGGGAAAGCATCGTTACCCACGGGGGACCACCTTTCCTCGTCTGGGCAGCCCATTCCATGGGATCTGAGAGTCAGTCTGAGTATACAGGACTCCATGCAGGTCCTGACTCCAGAGCTGCACCTGCAATCCTGGCTCTTACCTCCTAACCCCACAAGAGCCCTCAGATCTGAAGCTGCCTTTAAAAAACCCCAGTCAAGCCACCTAACCGTCCTCTCTGACTCTCATTTGGGCTTCCTAGCCTCCAAACCATGCCCTGACTCTTTCAAACTTACCCTCTTGCCATCTTCTCCGGGGGGACCAGGTTGCCCCACATGGCCAAAATTACCCTGTAGTAAGGAACAGAGGGAATTCAGGGTGGAATGGTGCAGGTGGAGGCCAGCCCCTCCCCAAGAAAGGAGATAGAACATGCGGAGGGAGGGCTCAGACACAGGGGTACATGCAGGCTGGGGTTCTGAGGACGAGAAAGGGGGCATGAGTGTGGGGGAGGAACCTCACACACTTACCTTTTGGCCCTTCTCACCAGGCAGCCCTGGAAGACCATCAAAGCCTCGATCACCCTGTCCAAAGAGACTCCATCTGAGCCTTGAACCCTCAATGTTAACAGCTCCCCCACTAAGTCTTAGTCCTGGCCCCATCACCTACCTTCGGACCAGTATCCCCCGGGAGACCTCGAGCCCCATCTGCTCCAGGGCGGCCCTATGGGAAAAGTGAGCCCAGAGGTCAAGGGCAAACCTCCCGTGTAGTCCTCCCCCAAGATGGGAACTCAATATAATCACCTTTGTCACAATATTACTATAATATTATGATCATTTTAAGCACCTTCCTCATGCAGAAGCCTTTGCTGGGGGCTTCTTTGTGCACCAATTTAACCTTCCAAATATAGCCCAAGTCCACCCACTATTGTTTATCCCCAGGGCCCTCACCCTCATCCAAGCTACCTTTATCCCCAAAACTAAGAACCTCATCTTCAGCTCCCATCAATTGCCCTGTTGTGTGCTCCTCATTGCATTTATAACTAGTTAGTGATGGGGATGTATTCTGAGAAATGTGTTATCTGGAGATTTCTGGCATTGTGCAAACATCACAGAGTGCACTTACACTATCCTAAATGGCACAGCCAGTTCCATACCAAGGCCATGTGGTACGGCCTCTTGCTCGTAGGCTACAAACCTGTACAGCATGTTCCTGTGCTGAATACCACAGGCAGTTGTTACACGATGGCAAACATTTGTGTGTCTAACCATATCTAAATATAGAAAAGGCAGCCAGGTATAGTGGCACATGCCTGTAGTCCCAGCCACTTGGAAGGCCAAGGTAAGAGGATCACTTGAACCCCAGAGTTCAAGACCAGGCTGGGCAACATAGCAAGATTCTATCTCAAAACAAACAAACAAATAAATAAGCTTAGAAAAAGCAAAAATAAAATATCACATAAGCAGTCCCCAAGTTACAAACACCGGACTTAAGCACAACTTGCACTTACAAACAGGGGCTAGCTCCTATAGTAAGTCCCCAAGTTAAAAACATCTGACTGGCTTGGCACTTGTAGCTCAGCAGCTAGGGTGCCAGCCACATACAACTGAGCTGGCGGGTTCGAATCCAGCCCAACTTGCCAAACAACAATGATAACTACAACAACAAGATAGCTGGGTGTTGGGGTGGGCGCCTGTAGTCCCAGCTACTTGGGAGGCTGAGGCAAGAGAATCGCTTAAGCCCAAGAGTTTGAGGTTGCTGTGAGTTGTGATGCCATAGCACAATACCCAGGGTGAAAGCTTGAGACTTTCTCTCAAAAAACAAATTTTGACTGATGTATGGCTCACACTTACAAATAGAGGCTATTACAGCTAACAAGTAAATATACCTATTCCAACATACAGACAAGTTCAACATAAGAACAAACCTAAAGAACCTATCTCATTTGTATCCTGAGAGTTTTATGCTATCTGTCATTAAATATAATGTCCTTATGTAGTGTGTGACTGTATCTGTAATTATCTTGTTTGTCATTTCCTTCAATGTGCCAGGCTCCTCTTTTGCAGATGCTGTTCCTTCTGCTTATAATAATGTTCCTTATCTGTTCACCTGGTTATACTTCAGATCTCAGGGCAAACATCACTCCTTTGGGCAAGTCCTTCCTCACTCTCTGACCTGGCCGATTCCTTTCCTATATGCTCAGTGGAGCTGCCATTCCCTGCCCTCAGTGCTCCTGTCCCACTAATGACACCAACAGAGCCTGGGGCTATGGAGCCAAGGATCATGCTCAGTGCTGAGGTGGATAACAGATGTTCTAGGGACCTATGGGCCACTCACCATCTTGCCCACTTGGCCAGGGGGTCCATGAGGTCCCTGCAGGCCTCGGGGACCCTAGGGGAAAATAAAAACAGAAAAAGCAAAAGAAAAGAAGAATAAGGAGGGGGAAAGACTTAGTTTAAATTATCCTCTAAGAGGGGCAGTGCCTGTGGCTCAAAAGGGTAGAGTGCCAGCCCCATATGCCGGAGGTGGTGAGTTCAAACCCAGCCCCAGCCAGAAATAAAAAAAAAAAAAATTATCCTCTAAGAAAGGCAGTAACTGCAAGGGTTTCCCTAGCCCCTTGACATTTTCTCATCCCACCTCCATCAGTCTCTCTCACCTGTGGTCCCATCACTCCTCCCTCTCCTTTTGAACCTGGCTGCCCAGGGAGACCCTTGGAGGAGGAAGAGATGGAGAAATGCATCAGAGGAAGGTGCTTCTTCTCTGCTGACACCCATGCCCCTCCTCCATGCTGACCCTTTACTCACCACAGGACCTGGGCGCCCAGTGAGCCCCACTGGGCCAGGGGGACCTTTCATGGACAGCTAGAAAAACAGAGGGAAACAGATCCTGGGGTCTCCCAGTAGCCCCCATATTATGCCCCATCTCTATCGTTCTCTCAGGTTCTCCCTGAGACACCCGTCTGCCACTCACCTGGGCCTGCTGAAGTACTGCCTGGGCCTGGGCTTGCTGGAAGGACACTAGGGGTCCTTTGTGGGAGCTGCTTGCAAACTGGAACTGGGGGGCAACTAGTGGTGAGGTGCATCCCAAGGAGAGGCCCCTCCTTGGTCAGGACCCCACCCCTGGACAAGGCTGTGCCACTCCGTCTCCTTCTTACCGGCATCATGATCACAGTGCCTGGTTGGCCCCGGATACCATCAATGCCGGGGATTCCTGGGAGGCCAGCAGGGCCCTGAGAGGAGGTATGAGGCAGAGGGAGAAAGGGAGGGAGGGAGGGAGAGAGATGGAGAGAAACAGAGACCAACAGAGAGACAAAGACAGAGATGGAGAAGATAGAAAAGGACAGAGGTAGAGGATAGACAAGATAGCCAGAAGATGGATATGGGAAAACAGAGAGAGGACAGAGGGGGGCAGGATGGGAAAGACAGAGAGATGGAGGAAGAAAGACAGAGTCATAGAGAGTGGCAGAGACAGAAAGAGACAAAGACAGAGCAATCAAGGCCGAAGAGAGATAAAGAGACAGAGAGACAGAAGCATAAGGAGAAAGGTCAAGATGAAAGCCACACAGAACCAGAGACAGAGGAAGAAAAGCAGAAGATAAATCCCCAGAGACACAGGGGAGCAGGAGAGATAGTTCACAGGTGAGGACAGGGTTGGGCAAAAGGAGTCAGGCCCAGCCTCAGGACAGTGTCCCCAGTGTTAGCCCCCGTCATCCTCCCAACTTGAAACCCCACTCCACCCACCCAGAAGAACACAGCCAAGGAGTCTCTTACCGGTGGACCAGGGTCTCCAGGGAAACCTGGGGGACCAGGAGGCCCTGAGGGGCCAACCAACCCCTGTTGGGGACAGAGAAAGAGAAGTCACAGGAAGTGCAAAATTTGAGCCCTGCTGATTTCTGACCTACCACTGACTTTGACCCCAGGCTGACCACCGACTCCACCACTGAGCCATTCCTGCTTCCCAATGCTATATAGACCTACATCAACCCCCAACTGTACACCTGACCCCTGTTTTGACTCATCCTTTAAGTCCTAAGTGGCCAATAGCCTGAACAGGCAGTGTTACAAACCAACACCTCACTACCCCACAGGAAGGGAACACAGGAAAGAGAAAACACAGCTGTGACTCACTCGGGGTCCAGAGGCTCCTGGAGGTCCCTCAAACTGCTGACCCTGAAGCGACAAAAGAGTGTGACCCCTATTCTTACAAAGCTTCTCAATCCCCTCACAGCCCAGACTCCTCACCTGCTCAATCACTGCAGGCTCTCCTTTCGCCCCCTTTTCTCCAGTGCCCTGGGACGGGGGCGTGGAAAGAAAAGAGATGTGAACCTGGACATAAACCCCTCGCTAGCCAATCTCACATCCATCTCCCACCCACCCACCCAGGCGCACACAGGCTCCACCCTCAGAGCGCCCTCTGCTGTCCTCTGAAGAAAGGACCAACATGCACTGAGACTCCGCTTCCCTGTCAATGCCAAGTCCAGGTAGGTAAAGGGCAGGAACTTCAGAGCTTGCTGCTGAGTCCTAATCCTGGATCTGCTTCTTACTAACTGAGTGATGTTGGGAAACTTAGGCAACCCTTATAGCTAGTTATCTGTATTGTAAATTCTGGGTGAATGATGAGTGCATATAACCCATGCGAAGACCAATGAATGAAAGTGATGCTAGACACTTCACAGGCACGCAGAGTAATTGAGTTACAGCTGCTCGTCTCCTCCCGTGTGCAACACCAAAGCTAGAATCTGGGCACCCTTCTCTGTCAGCAATTTTTTTTTCTTTTTTAAAATAAGAAAAAAAAATTCTTATGAAATTTAAAATTTCTTTTAAAATAAGAAAAAAAAATTTCACTCTGTCACCCAGGCTGGAGTGCAGTGGGTCATTTAAGCTCACTGGATCCTTGAACCCCTGGGTTCGAGTGATCCTCTTCTCTCAATCTCCCAAGTAGCTGGGACTATAGGCATGTGCCAGCACTCCTGGCTAATTTTTAAATTTTTTTTTTTTTTT